ACTGGGACTAGAACCAGCACCCATATGGGATGCTGGCACCACAGGCGGAGGATTAACCTGCTGCACCATGGCTCAGCCCCTAAATCCCACTTTAATAGGCAAATTTTGTACTGATTTTGGTTTTTCACTTTTGAGAAGATAATGAATCTGAATACCATTTTATTTATTATTTGTAATTTTTCTTCTCTAAATTTCCCTTTCCAATTTTTGTCTATTTTTAAAGTAGGCTATTTCTTTACTGATTTGTAAGGATCCAATATATGCTAAATATTTATTATTAGTCATTTAAGTGTGTTGCAATGTGTTTCTTTGTCATATAACTTTTTTATGCTATCTTTTGGTGTATTGACTTTTTAAATTGATGCAATCTATCATGATTTTCCTTTGTGTTTTTATTTTTACTTTGTTTAGGAGTTATTTCCATATCCCAAAGTAAGAGAAATATTCCACCATATTTTCTTCTAAAATATGTTTTGGAATAATTTTTAAATTCATCTGGACTTTATTTCAGTCAGTGGTGTCAGGTATTAAATCTCTTATTTTCCCCAAATATGCATTGCCTCAGGTGACAATGAACTGGGACAAGTCTATCTGAAATTTGTGGGAAGTGGGGCAGAGCAGATGCTTCCACTTTCAGGGACTCTCTTCTTTCTCTGATCCATTTTAGAAATAATTGCCTATATAATTAACTTGCCAATCAGTCATATACAGCCCAATGCCACCATGGTAGAGGTGTTAAATGTTGTCAATGCTCCACTCACATACATTAACGTGCTTGGTCACTTCTGGGCACATTGATGAGCACACTGGTGTGTCTCCACTCCCCAGAGCCAGAACCAACTTCTTTTTGTGGAAAGGCTGTGCTCACCTAGAGGGTTATAACCCCCTTTGCCTGCTAGCACAGATAGCAGGAAGTGACCGGAAATTGATGACTACCCCCCAAACCCCACCTGTTCCAACATGCCTTATAACCTATGACGGGGAGGGGGAGGTATAAATTCTCTAGCTCCTTGCTCCTGACCAGAACACCATCTCTAAAACTCCTCTGCAAGACTGAACCAAAGTTACCTCTGTGGGATTTTCCTTCGGGCCACACTCCTCCATTCCCCAAATTACTCTCCCATAAATTCTCATCTTGGGAGCCCAGCCCGTGAGAGAAACCTATTGTTATTGTCTAGTGCTATTTATATGTTTTTTTTTTTTCTTGCTCACATATTGTTTCCTTATGTTCAGTTGTTGCAGTTTAGGTTTCCATGGGGATATGAACAGAGCACGGACACAGTGCAATTCATGTACTTTTTCATAGTGCAGTTCATGTACTTTTTCATAGTCCTCATGGTAAAGATGAGGCTTTTATCATCACCATCATCATCATTATTGCCTTCTCAGTTTTGTTTTTTTTTTTTTTTTGACTGAGTGGACAGTGAGAGAGAGAGACAGAGAGAAAGGTCTTCCTTTTCCGTTGGTTCACCCTCCAATGGCCAGCGCACCGCACTGATCCGAAGCCAGGAGATAGGTGCTTCTCCTGGTCTCCCATGTGGGTGCAGGGCCCTAGTTCTTGGGCCATCCTCCACTGCACTCCCAGGCCACAGCAGAGAGCTGGACTGGAAGAGGGGCAACCGGGACAGAATCCGGCACCCCGACCGGGAGTAGAACCTAGTGTGCCAGCGCTGCAGGTGGTGGATTAGCCTACTGAGCCACGGTGCCGGCCTCAGTTGGTTTTTAAAAACTGACATCCAGTCGCATTTACGAAGCAGTTGACACAACATCCCAATTATTGGAGTGCCTGGATTCTACTCCTGATTCCAGCTCCCTGCTAATACCTACCCTAGGAGCAGCAGATGATGGCTCAAGTACTTGGGTCCCTGCCACCAAGTGGGAGACATGGATTGAATTCTGGACTCTGGCTCTGCTTCAACCTGGCCTATCCAGCTCTGGCTGTTGCAGGCATTTGAGGAGTGAACCAATGGATACAGGATCCCTCTCTTCATCTCTTTCTCTGTGTGTGTGTATCTGTCTCCATCTCTCTCAGTCTTTTAAATAAATATTATTTAATTTTTTAAAAGAACTTATGTCAGATGGACTTAGACTATACAAACACAACCAATATTTGGATAATATGTATATTTATCATGCAGAGGATGTTATACACAGTAATCGAGTTTTAAGGCTATTTCTGAACACAAAAATATGTTATACGTACTTGCAGAGATCTCAGAAAATTTAGGTCGATATGAATATTGTATGAAATTATTATGAGATTGAATATCTCTACAGCTCTTAGAGACATTTTAATGTTGAAGTTTCTATTGAGAATTATTAACTAGTGAATAATTAAAACATTGTCAGAATGGATTCAAAACCAATTAGTTTAGCGGCAGATAAAAAGTTCTAAGAAATCTTTGACTGCCAACAAGAGCAATTAGTATGGTTTTATTTGCATGCTAAAACAATTCAGTGTGCAGAATATAGTAATTTTTTGTAGTCTATGTCTTGTAGGATATAATAATTTAGCTTTCATGCCCAAACTGGATGTGTGATATGAACAATAAATGAATCCAATAACAGAGGTGAAAGAAAATAATGGCATAGGAATAATTTCTGACATTTGTGTATACTTTGTTATTTTTAAAATAAATTTTGTGGTTCTCTTTCTCTGATTGCTGGACATAAGTCCCACTTATAACACTTTTTTTAAATTTTTTGACAGACAGAGTGGACAGTGAGAGAGAGAGACAGAGAGAAAGGTCTTCCTTTTGCCGTTGGTTCACCCTCCAATGGCCGCCGCGGCCGGCGCGCTGTGGCCGGTGCACTGCGCTGATCTGATGGCAGGAGCCAGGTGCTTCTCCTGGTCTCCCATGGGGTGCAGGGCCCAGGTACTTGGGCCATCCTCCACTGCATTCCTGGGCCACAGCAGAGAGCTGGCCTGGAAGAGGGGCAACCGGGAAAGAATCCGGCGCCCCGACCGGGACTAGAACCCAGTGTGCCGGCTCTGCAAGGCGGAGGATTAGCCTAGTGAGCCACGGTGCCGGCCACTTATAACACTTTATGCAGGCTGTAGTTCTCTTTACTTTGAATGAATAGATTTATGAATACAAAGCAACCAATGTGACATTTTCAGATCAAATTGAGTGGCTATTTGTCAAAACAACTCATTGAATCTACTGTCTTGGTGATTAGAAGATACTTCCCAAGACAGTATTGGTCAGACCATGCTTCACCTCAGCCACCCGCAGCCCCTGCATCTCTGAGAGCTGGGTCTATGCTGACACACATCCCATGCTATGCATTCAGTGAAGTAGTTGGAGCAGGGGCTGACACCATGTTGGAGAGCTGTTTTTTAGGAATGAGGAGGCTTGCATCTTTCTCTACTGCAAGTCTTAGTATCCTTTTGCTCCAAGATGTTTTTACACTCCTTTCCAGGTGATTCTCCTAGCCCTAGCCCTACCATGATCCTCTCAATTCCATCCATTGATGATAGCAATGAACTCTATTCTTGCCTAGTAATAGGGTTGTACCATAAGGGAGAATATTAAATTGTTTTTCAGGGTAAAAATTTTGCTCTCTGAAAATATATTTCGTTAAGTAAATATAGACTTTTCCTATTGGTATATTAGTAGTTGCAGTAATTTGAATCACTATACTTATACTCCTTGTATTTAAAAATCTGTGTAGTCATGCACAGGCATTTGGCCTAGTGGTTGAGAGACAGTTATGTCATAGTGCCTAAGTTTAAGTCCAGCTCCACTCTCAATTCTAACTTCCTGCTAATGCACACCCTGGGAAGTAGTAGGTGACAGTTCAAGTAGTTAAATCCCCGCCACCCATATGGGAGTCCTGGATTGAGTTCCAGACTACTATGTTCAGCCTGCCCCAGCCCCAGTTGTTGTGGGCATTTGAGGAGTGAACCAATAAATCTTTATCTATCTATCTGACTCTCTCTATATAAATAATTAATTAAAATAAAACAAAAAAATATAGCCAAGTAGTATGGAAAGACAATTGATAAAATCTGCAGGTGCCTACTGATTGTTAAATTAATCCAAGTCCTCAGAGACATTAAAATTTCTTTAGCATTCAAGAAAATTGTTGAGATATATAAACAAAAAACAACAACAAAAAACCCAAATAAGTGAAGGAAAACTAGGAGGTTTTCTATACATTTTAAAACTAAACTTTCTCTTAGAAAATCGGGGGTGCTGGTTGAAAATATTTTGTGGATAATACAGATTCCAAAATATTTTTAACTGAGATATTCTGATGGCCAAGGAAGCATATTCATTCTACTGAAGTTAAGAGATTGTTTTAACTTTCAACGTACACAGTGGCATGCACAGGATCTTTTACTCTCTACTCAGTGCAGGTCATTTAGTCCACTTCACCAGTCTTCTAATATGATACTACCATAATTACTCCTGGAGAGATGCATTCATTAGCAACATAAGGGAGGAAAACATTGGTTTTCCTTCCTCTCCAAACGCAATAGGGCAGGCAACTCTTCTTAGCAAACTCTAATCCTTCTTTATGGCTGCATGGAAGCATTTTGGTCCACCAGCTGCACACATGAATTTTCAGCTGGAAAGAGACGTTCTGTCTCAGAGTCCAGTGATGGATTTGTCCCAGAACTAAAAGCGCAAGGTGAAGGATCTCAAGAGTCTTTTTTTTCCTCTTTGTGGAAGGTGAACATCAAGATCAGTATTTGGAACCCAGGATGTATCTCTCTCTCTCTCTCTCTCTCTCACACACACACACACACACAGAGAGAGAGAGACACGAATAGACATTTCTTCAACAACATCAATCTTTTTCCTTTCTTGCCTAGAGAACACCCAGGTTATTGCCCAAGTACATGTGAAAACAGACAGTTAGCTTCTCAATTTATAACTCACCCCAATTGTCACAACTCTGAAGTCCCACTGGATTCATCTTTTGGTTTGTATTCCATTTTGACAAATCATTCAGAAGGCTGTCAGAGATAATAATCTTGCCCGAGGAAACAAATATTTTGTATCATTGCTTGCTCCCTAAAATTCTCAATCATTACAATTTTGTGTAAAGTCTTGTGTTAACTCATTCACTGAATGTATCCCATATATGAATAGAAGCAAGTTTTTACCACTGGAAGATGACCCAAGTACTCAGGCCCCTGCCACCCACTTGGAAAACCCAGACGCAGTTTAGGCTCCTGGCTTCAGCCTGGCCCGGAAGCTGGTTCCTCTCATCAGCACATAATTGTTTTGCACCTTTTGAAGCATCATTACTTCCTTGTCTGTGCCAAGACAGGATGTCAGCTGCTCTTAGGTCAGGTCTAGACAGGGCAATCAAGTCAGCCAAGGTAAATTCAGTAGTCAGTCACCTAAGCGGATGATTGTCTACTTGGTAACTTTATGGACCATGTGATAGTTTAATGTAGATTTTGTTGTTGAGGTAAACAAAGAAGCTTTGTAAGCTGTCTTATGATCTTTCAGACATGGCAGGAAGTTGTTTCTACATGGCTTTGACTGTCATTGAATAAAACAAAATTTCAAATGCTGTCAGTAAGTGGGCTATGTCAGAATGTCGCCTCATTTGTCCAGGTAGACACACAATCCTAAATGATAATATCTCTCATTACAGAGCGCTTACTCTGGTGCCAGACATGAATCAACTCCGTGCTGACACAGTTTGTGACAGAGTTAAGATTTGAACTACTAGCCATTCCACTTGTCCATAAACAGTAATCTCAATGACTCACATGGAAGTAATCATCAAAACAATCACATAATGCTTTTGGATCTCTCCATCGCCTGATAAGGTAAAGCTACTTGGTCCAGGTAATGGAGCCAGTACTTTATTTCACCCCACATGCATAGCCACAACTTTATATTCCAAGTGCTAAGACATTTGTTTTTTTCTGTATTAAGCATTTAGAAATAACAGCTGGACCATTTTCTAAAAATACTATTATCAGAACTACAGAGAAAGTATGATTTTTATATAATCTTCCCATATATGCCACTGATGCTAACTTCTATTGCTTGAAGCATATGAAGGTAAGAGCAGGTGTTACAGCACTCACTACATTTCTCTCACATCTCTGTTGATAAATCAGCATTTAATTTTTACTCAGAGTTGAACTTTGTCATTATAGTTATGAGCTATGATCAGTTTATCCCCTGCAGAATTAGTTTTCTTATCTGTGAAATCAGCATAGAAATATAAACCTTTAGGGTCAGCATTGTGGCACAGCAGGTTAAGCCATGGCTTCCAATGCCAGTTCAAGTCCTGGCTGCTCTGCTTCTGGTCTAGCTCCTTGCTAATGCACCTGAGAAAGTAGCAGGAGATGGCTCAAGTAATTGGGCCCCCACCACCTGTGTGGAAGACCCAGATGGAGTTCTGGGCTCCTGCATTCAGCCTGACCCAGCCCTGACCATTGTGGCCAGTTGGGGAGTGAACCAGCAGGTGGAAGATCCTTTCTCTGTCTCTCCCTTTCTGTCACTCTGCCTATCAAATAAAATAAGTCTTAAAAGAAATATAAACTTTTGACATTATGGCAAAAATTTGACAATTGATGAGCATCCTCCTGTTAGTAAGTGTTTAGATAGATAGCATTCTACAGGTGACTGATAATAATTCAACAATTATTAGCCATCTACTAGACTTGACTAGAGGAATAGAAATCCAATTTTTTGCTTCTATAGTTTCTCATCTTAATGGCCGAATTTCTTGGCTTTGATCATTGTCATCAATTCAGCCTCATTTAAGAATTATGCATCTGTCACAGAGCATTTTTCATAGGTCTACTCATGTTTTTAATAGCAATACAGACTTCGGAGTTTAAAAACTCTGAAATACCTTCTCTCTGCCCCATCTTGCTAGAGTATAACCTCAATGAGGCCAAGAAATTTTGTTTAATTTGTTCTTGATTTATCATAAACACTTGCACATAGCAGGTATTGAAGAATTATATACTGGGGCCGGCGCCGTGGCGCTCTAGGTTAATCCTCTGCCTGTGGCGCTGGCATCCCATGAGGGTGCCGGTTCTAGTCCCAGTTGCTCCTCTTCCAGTCCACCTCTCTGCTGTGGCCTGGGAAAGCAGTAGACGATGGCCCAAGTTCTTGGGCTCTGCACCCACATGGAAGACCAGGAGGAAGCACCTGGCTCCTGGCTTTGGATGGGCACAGCTCCGACCATTGCAGCCATTTGCGGAGTGAACCAATGGAAGGAAGACCTTTCTCTCTGTCTTTCCCTCTCACTGTCTGTAACTCTACCTGTCAATAAATAAAATCTTTTAAAAAAGGAATTATTTACTGAATAAAAGGATTTATAAAAATACATACCCATATTTTAGAGGACATTAAATTATTTCAGCTATTAGTCTTTGGAATCACAAACTGTAGGTTGGAATTCCAGCTCAGTTCACCACTTTTGTGACCTGGGGCAAATTCTTGGCCTCTTTGAAATGTAATTTACTCATTTTAGAATTGGAGATGATATCTACTTCGTGAGCAAGTCTGAGGATTAGAAGGTCCTATAGGCAAATACCTGGTCTGGGTAGAGAGCCAGGGAAGACCCAGACCAGTGGAGGGCTCCTGAGTGTTAGCTGCTACCCATATGTGGATCTCAAAGCCCTTCTCAAATCTTAGCTATTAACCGGTAAAGTATGATTCACATTTTCAAAGGAGAAAAATACAAGAGTGGGGAGCAAAGAAATGATTGGCTAAAAACTGTTTAGAAACTTAGCTCTTTAGCTATAGTTATAGTTTGCTTTGCTTTTCTCTCTCTCCACATGTCTAGGGATGACTTAGAATTAGGATAAATTTGAGGATGTCGATGAGGTAGTTACACTGAGCCTTTTAACAGTTCCGCGTATCTTTGTTGTAACCTTCCTCAGTGAGGAAGGAAACGTAGGTTAATAAGAGAGACTTGAGATTCTACTCATTTTTCAGGGAATTGAGACATGAGGACTGACAGAAATGATATGGGAGCAGGTGACGACATGCTCCATGACTTTAAAGTGTTATTTATAGCCCACTGCGTGGGTCACAGCAATTTCCATTGCAGCTTTCCTCTGGAATTCCTTGGGCTGGGAAGCAACAGCTTCCAAGTCTCCCTTCTGAAACAAAACCCAGACTGACCCTTTGCTGGAAGCATTGGGCTTGTTAGGGTGGAGGCTGGGCCGCCCACCCTGGATAAACATCTATCTCTCTATTGTGATGTGGGTTTGTATTGCCTTTCCCCTCGATGCTGTAGGGGATTCTGGGTTTAGAGGAGGTTAAAGAAGGAGAATTTGCCCAGATGTGGCAAGACAGCCACACAGGTTTCAGAGCATAGCCACAGCCACAGCCCTAGCCCCAGCCAAAGAGGAACGCATGTGTGTTACAGATTTGAAGTCCTACTGGGATATGGTGTTGTGGGGGGAAGGGCATACAGAGTGACAGATAACAGAACCTCTGGGTTCATATTACCAAGGAAAGCTGGTTTTGCCGGTCACCAGTATCACTCTTGCACAGACAACATGACTGTAGAGAAAGAGCAAACTGGTGAGTCTAGGCAGAAAACTTTCTATTACTCAATTTTTGCAAAACATGGCTCTCTGCACTTGTGTTTGGTGGGAAAGGCTCTTAGCTATCACTTCAACCCCATTGCTGCTCCATTACTATATTGTCCATGCAGATATCTATTTAAAAGACTACTGTTTTTAACTGCAACACATCCCCCAACAAGATGCTTTAAGATCATATTCAATAAAAGTGTTCCTGATTATGAATGGCCCAGCAGGGAGAGTGACTTGATTCTCCTATCCTATTATAATTCAGGTGAGAATTGGCCACAGTTGTCACCTCAAGAACAGAATGGTGAGTTAGGAGGAAGCTAGGACCACACGGGGTGTACTGTGATGAGAGGTCAGTTGGTCCCATGGAGATGGGGAGACCCAAACAGAGGAAAGAGAGGTGAGGAAAAGAGAGGTAGATAATGAGCAGGAAGAGAAGAAAAGAGAAGCAGGCAGTAGGATGAGATGGGAATGGGTATCCATGTCAGCACAGGTCCAGTTCACACATGAGGGAGGGAACCAGAGCCCTGGCCGTGAACTTCTGGGCCTTCCTTCTTTTACATGGACTTTGGGCAGGATTCAAAGCCCAGCACCAGGCAGGGCTGCAGATCATTGAGGCAGGGCCCACTGTTGTGTCTACATGTATATCCAGATGCCAAGGACAGTGCCTACGTTGAGTGTGCACCTAATATTTGTTGAATGACAAATGGAAGAAAGTAAAGCAAAAGCCAAGCCAACCCATTCAGACTGAGTTAATAATGGGCCAGGCAGATGAGCGCTAGATAGGTGTGCAGGTGCTTTAGATAATGATAGCCCGAGGGTCTGAGGTAACAGAACCAAAGAAATCCAGCCCTACCAGTGGGTGGACTGAGGTTGAAGAATTATATTCTGTCCTTGAGGTGACTGACTCACTAACTGCAAGGCAAGGCCTTCCCTTAGAGGAAGGCACCTGACTCCATTCCGAAGAGCTGACAGAGGTTGACATCTGCAGGTGGGCTTTGGAGGGAGATCCCTTTGGGACTGTAGCTCTGTGATGGTGTACACAGACTCTCAGATCATATACTTACAGCACAATAGGTTTTGAGAAATTGAAAGCCAGAAGGATTGTAAAGAGCATTTAATATGACCTCCTTGTCACACAGACAAGGAGATTGGAACCAAAGGAGATAAATGACTTGTTGGACAGGATCTAACATATTTACTCCTGTATTCTGTTATTTTTTTCTATTTTACATGCTTTTTGCTTTGTTTTGTGCCACTAATAGACTGTAAGCTCCCTCAAGGAAGCTATTTTTGTAATATTACCATCTCAAAGACACATGGCATCATTTTATAAACAAGCAGGCTCAAATAAGGCTGTTGACTGGCAACGGAGTGAGTGAATGAAAAAATAAAGGAACACATTCGTGTTCAGACAGATGAGTTGTATTGAAATTCTGAATCCCTACCTAATGAAAAAACTACTGAGAGCCCTAGGTAGCTTCTCTTGTCTCCTGTGTCCAATCTTCCAGATTCAGGAATTGTTCTGAGAGGAAGTGGAATTTCAGGTAGCACTGCCTCCACTAGAGAGCCTGGTAATGGAAACTTAGTGAAGATGGCCCGGGGGATTATCCTCTCTCAAAACAGAGGACTCAAGCCCAGGCAGGAAAAGCCTTCCCATCTTGATTTGTAGGGCCATACACCAGAAGCAGACTGGTTAATTCTCTTAAAAAGGGAAATCTATATTTGGGAAAGAAAATGTAGCACAGTGCCCATCTTGGCTAATTGCCGTCAGCACACTCACTGGAAACCTGAGTGCACCTCACAGGCACCTGAGGCGTGCTGTGAAAGCACATGCCCTGGCCAAACTCTAAACACATTTTTGGGATGGAGCCTCAGCATATTTGTTTTGGAAAAGCTCCCCAGGGGATTTTGATGTATGCGCTGATACTAATAGCATTAGAAGAAGAAACCAAAGTATCAGAGCATAAGCCTTTAACACCTATCTCAAGGAAAGCGAAATCGCTGCAGTTTCTGCTTTGAACTATCTTTACCTACTCATCCCTTGCAGCTCACCACTATCCAAATATATCGTCCACTTTGCCTATTAAAATTGCTCTCTGAAAAGATCTCTTAAGATCATTTGCATTACACTGTGGATGACTGATAAAACTTACTGTCAAAGGTGATGGGATTTTTTTTTCTTTGAAATAGTTTTAGTCTAGGTAAAAATGCACAGGTGATAGCCACTGACTGGAGCAGGGTCTCTCAACCTCTGCATT